GGCCCTACCCAAAGAAACAGTGATGCCAAAGATGGAGGCAGAGATGATGACATGGAGAGATGGAGCGGCTGGGGACTCTAGACCTAGAGAGGGAGAGGGGCTGTGTGCTGACGACGAGGGAGCAAGCTTGCAGGGTATACCCTTTAGTTGTTTGATGATGCATGGAGGGGATTGTAATCATGGCAATGAAACAATATACGATAGGATGAATGTAAAGCTCCCATGTGAACTATCACATAATTCACAATAAAACATTAAAAAAACAGTTCATGGAAACTGAAAAAAAAAAAACAAAAAAAAACTTCATGGAAAAATGGAATAAAAAGATAATGAAATTTTTCCATGAACTTTTTGAAGCCCCTTTGTATAAACCAGGTAATTTGATCCTGTCAAACAATATCCTTGTTGTGCTGTATTTTGACTTGTGTTTATTGGCTACGTATCACCTCCTTCACCCTATCCAAGGCAGATTCTTTTCACCTTTCCCTTAATTTAAGTAAGTGGTTCTCAAACTTTCAAGTGCTTCGAATCATGGGGAGGGATTATTTAAACACAAATTATAGGCCCCATTCCCAGAGATTCTAAATCATTAGGGCTTCTGAATCAATTTTTGTTGTTGTGTGCCTTCAAGTCGGGTGTCAACTCATAGAGACCCTGTATAGGATTTCTGAGAGCGGTTAGGGGGTTTGAATTGCCAACCTTCTAGTTAGTATGGTTAGCAGTTCAGTGCTTATCCTACAGGGCCCAATAGGGTCTGAGAATTTGCACTTCTTTCTAATAGGTGAGTCCTCGTGGGGATCATGGGATAAGCATTGACCACGAGGTTGACAGTTCAGCTGATCCTCAGAAACCCTATACAGGGTCATTATGAGTTGGAATCGACTCAAGAGCACTTAACAACTAATGCTGATGATCCACGGAGGAACACCCTTTACTGATCTAAGTATTCCACCCCATCTTTACATTAGAATTGCATGCCTAAATTCTTGGAGAATATTTTGTAGGAGGTGTAATGACTTATCTCTGTAGAAAATGAAGTTATTCTGTCTTTAAGTAGTATGTTCAATAACCATACTATTTAACATTTAGTTAGTTTCTGCAGAAATATTACTATGGTTTTCAGTTACCATAAACCTCAAAGGCGTCTTAAAGCTTGGAAGTAATTTTAACCCTGGAAGCATTTACACAACCAAAAAACACATCACAAAAGTGAAAGGGTTAACATTTAGAAGTGCATTTATTATATATGGGACAGTTGTAGTGAAGCTTCTTCTCTTTGTCACTCTATTCCTTTGTCTCCCATTTCCTTTCATAGGCTGCTCCTTTCACAGACCTGACCCTTAGTTCTGTTCCTCCATTAACAAGCTTAGCGATTTAAGCATGTCCCTTGAATGCCTGTATCTCAGCATTTTCATCTGTGAAAATCTTTTTCTACTTTAGAAAGCAAGTGATCCTCTACGCAAGGAATTGGGAGAAGTAAATGATTTCTGTGTTTCCACCAAATGAAAAAGACTCTAAAGTGAATGGAAGTTAGAATAAGAGATTGTGAAAACCCATCCTGAAGCTGTCCTCAG